TAAAACAAAAATTTTAATGATGGAACCAACAGATACGTATCAATTTGTATATATGTTACAAAATTTTAATAAATAAGTTAACACTTTTTTTATAGTGACTATATCATAATCTGTATTGTATATTTAAATAGAACTAAACAAGTGAGCTAGACAAAACCAAGAAGACCATCTTGAACAAAAGCAAAAAAAATGATGATATAATTAGCTCATTAAAAGCATACTATAGATCAATCCAAAATATTAAAATATTTCAGACTTCTCATGAGATTGTGCAGTAAAGTAATTTTCATAATTAAAGCCTAAGAAATCATTGATATTTTTAGAAGTTAAGAAGAGTTTATTACCAGTAAAGCACAATCAAATACTCTTATAATTAATGATAGTGATGATAGTATCTGTCTACTTTTTTTTTAGTGAAAACATTTGTCTATTTTTAATGGAATTTTTGGATGTTAATGTCATTGACTTGTTATATTTAACGGATGTTTTAGATTTTTTTGTATGTTAATGGATATTTAGATATGATGATCTTTTATTTGCGATTTAATTTTATTCATATTTATGTCTTTTACTAGTAATTTTATTAGTTTATTTTTATTTTTTGACAAAACATATAAAAAAATATAAAAAGAATAAAAAAATGTATATTAAACAGGCTAAGCTGAGCCTGTCCTCTTAAGAGCTAGATCTAACAAATTGGGGTATTATTGAAATTTAGGCCTTATAGAGTCGGGCCGGCCCTTTTAAGCTCGCCAGCCCTACAAGACTGGCCTGTTTTCTTAGTTCTATGCATTACTAGGCAACCTTAGTTGAATCTCAGAGGGAGGGAGGGGCAACGACCACAAATGCGAGCGGCGAACAAACATGTAAACCTGAATATAAATCGTAGCATAGGTTAAAGTGTTGTGTCGAGTTTATTATTTATATGCATCATCTTAATGAAGTCATGTTGTCTAGTTTCACTGCAAAATTGCAAATGATTTAAAAGAATACTACCTTTCGTCCTTAATGTAAGAACAGGGATGGTAATATGGGCCAATTCATGGGTTGCAAGTTGACCTGTGATGAGTTCAACCCATATGGAGTACGTTGAAAAGTGTCGTTTGAAGGCACAAGCCAACCCTAACCCGCCAACTCACCAACCCACCAACAATTATTTACTTTTTTTTTTCAATTTTTTTATCTTTTAATATTTTTTCTTATTGAATATTTTTAAAAAATATAATGAGATTTTTATTTTTTTCTTGAAATATTTGATTGGAAGTACCAAATAAATTATATAGGTATTTTTTAAAATTTTTTAGATATAATATTATATATAACAATACAATTATACTAATTTTAAAAAATTTTAAAAATACAAAAATATATATGCGAGATGGCGGGCTAACCCGCAGCGGGTTGCGAGCATGGCAATGCGGGTTGGAAAAATTCATTTACTGGCGGGTTGGCTTTTAGCTAACCCTAACTCGTTATTTTTAGCGGGCTGAACCCGCAAGTTCAGCCCATATTACCGGCTTTATGTAAGAATTCATTTGACTTTTATTTTAGTAATAAATATAAGACATCAATCTATTTTGTTTCTCGTATTTATCTTTTTTTTCCCCAAGATAATCCTTCTAATAATGGTAGTTCTAGCTAATAAACTTAATTAGCAAGCATATTTTAGGAAAGACAATACCTATTTATTGCAAATGACTAACTTAACCTATTTTCTCAATCTACTTAAATTAATCAACTAGTTCTTATATTTAGGACCGGAGGTAGTATTTTAGAAAAATAAATAGATATTTTTAACAAATAACTAATTTAAATAATTTAATAGACCTTATTTAGGATCAAAATATAAGTGATTGATTCTTAATATAAGATTTAATTGAATAATTTATTAGATTAAAAAAACTAAATAAATTACTCACATATAGCATATGTTAACTGATTTTCTGAAATAATTATTTGTGTCATTAAATTATAGGCAAATTAGTTTGAAAAAAATAATAAATATGAATACTTTAAAATAATTTATTTAGTTTTCTTAATAGTCTAAAATTAATTTATTAGATCTTATATTAAAGATTTTAGTTTTATGAGTTATCGTTTTTTCTTCCGTTCGAATTCTGAAATCACTTGACCACAAAAAGAAAAAGAAAAAAGAATTCACAAATCACAATCCATGCGCACAACCACTGGTAATTAATAACATCATCTGATAACAATATGCATGCAGGACCACTGACATGACATTATCGGATAACAAAGAAGAAACTAGTTAATATGGTACCTAACATATAAATATACTCCTCCAGTCCTTAATATAAGACTCATTTAACTAATTTGATTAGATTAAGGAAGTTAGGTACGTTAGTTAATTATAAGAAAAATGACACATTTTTTCTAAAATACCATAATCATCTTTCTTAATACCTCATCTCCCTCTTTTATTTGATTATGGTTGATGGAGTATCCATAGGGGTAATTTAGAGAAAATTGATAAATATGATAAATGGGTCTTATATTTAGGACTAAAACTAACTCAAAAATTAGGTCCTATATTAAAGACCGGAGGAGTAGTAAATATTTTTAACCTCTAAATAGACAAAGCATGAACTACTCCAACTCCTTACATCAAATTATTGTACTATTTACAATACTTTATCTTTTGTTCCTTAATTATTTATAACCCTTTGAATAATGTTTCGTGACATGCTGCAGAGACACATGAGAAATCCTCCTGCCCATTAATCAATAAATAATTTAATTTCTTTTATCTGTGCACACTAAACAATGCCTTTAATTAACTACAACAACTTTTGTCCTCTCAATGTAAGTTAGTTATTATAAACATTTTAAATGGGAAAAAAGTGAATATTATCTTTAATCCTTTAATCCTAATAATTTGACTTTATTTTGGTTTGGGTGAATAGGCAAATTTACTTATTGTAATATTAAAAAAAAGCATCAATTATCATAACAAAATATTGAGAGTGAATAGGCAAATTTACTTATTGTAATATTTAAAAAAAGCATCAAGTATCATAACAAAATATTGAGAGTAAAAATACACATGATGATTCAGAAATAACTCTAAAATGCCATTTGCCATTAAATTGAGTAACGTTGACTGTTTAGAAAAAACATTTTGACTAAAAATGAGGACGTGGAGGCAAATATGGTAGAATAATATCTGAGTTGGACAAAAAAAAATAAAACAACTGTATAGTTCTTCCTCCCCTCCGCGATCGTCGGCTTCCCACCAGCAGAGCCTCGCCTTTCCACCACCGTCGTCATCAACCCCCTTTCATTTTGTCCTCATTCTTCCACCAGAAACATTAATCGTACAAAAAACCCCAAAAAAAATCATACACAATCTAGATCTTAAGCATCCTTACTTAAAAATTGCAAATCACAAGTAATCAAATATTTAAAATGATGAGAAGTAGAAGAAGATCAGAAAATGTGCAATTAGAACAAAGAACAGAATCAGAAACCGTGAAGAACCACGGAAATCATCATCATCAGTGACCATTATTACTCAGACCAATTTCATCAGTGAAAAATGAGGTTCAACTTGAAGAATCATGAGAGTAAAAGCACAATATAAACCAATCCAGAAACAATCATTCTCAATAATATCAAACACGCATAACTAATCTTTCAAAGGCCCACAACTATCATGAGAACGAAAAAATCGAAGACCCATATATGAGAAATCGAAGACGGTTTGATGCCATGCGAGAGGAAGAAGAACAACGAGATCTATGAAATTATTTGCAGAAATGGAAGACCCATATCTGAGAAATCATGGGCTTCAGGCTATTCAATCAAACGGACAATCTCATCATGAGAGAGAATGTAGCGGAAGGTGGCGGTGCTGGCGATGAGCTGGGAAATGTTATCTGGGTAAGCTAACTGAGGGGTTTGTCGAGATTGTAGCTGGCGGTGCCGGCGTTCATGGCTTCCAAATTCCGGCGTGTGTGTCCAGTTTTGGGAGAAAGAAAAAGTGAAAAACTGAAAAAGTGAAGAAGAGAGGAAAGGAGAGAGAGATAAACGGGAAAAAAAAAAAAAAGTAAGGGTGTGTCACGGTGTGTGATAGGACGAGAGGTGAGTCGTGGGCTGGGGAGGAGTGGGTGGGGTCCATGTTAGTGCATCTTAAGGTGCCATGCAATGTTTTGATAGAGATAGGATAAGGGTGAGAGATTGAGTTGACCAATAAGGAGATTACCTGGCAAAGTATCTGACACGTGTATGTTTGATGGGACTCATATAGAAAAAAAAGTAACAGACATTACAGATAGTTAACGGAATGATATTTTTGCTCCATTTTAAAAAGTTGATGAATATTTTTGCTCCTGACATTTTATTATGGTACTTGATGTTCTTTTTCGATGTCATAATAGGTAAATTTAACCTTTTATCTTTTTTATTTTATTCCCTAAAATTTGAAATTAATAATTTTGATTCTTAAAATTTAATCTTATTTTAGTTCCGGTCCTTATGTCATGAATCAAAAGTACTATTCTAGAAACCAATAATTTTTAAGTGGACCAAAATAAAATAAAATTATTAGGACCACAACCACTTGTTTGAAATTTGAAGGGACCAATTTACCTAAAAAAATTTAAGAGAACCAAAATCAAAATAAGAGGCAAAAACCTCTTGAAATTTCATGTATCAAATTCAAGACCATGTCGGATTTTAGGGGCTGAAAACAGTATTAACCAAAAAAAAAAAAGAAAACGAAAGGGGAAAAAAAACCTTCGAGGGTGCATATGTATGTATGTGTATCTATCATGGCCGGCGGGAAAAACTTTCTGGTGGTCCATTAAAACACCTAATGCATAAACTAATAACACTCGTACATAACATATCCAACTTGTTCTCGTTCGCTTTCTGTGTTGAATACTGTGAGAGTATTATATATATATATAGACCTACGCAACACAAGGATGATGGAAGAGAGGGGGGAGAGAGAGAGAGAGGGGGAGAGAGAGAGAGAGATGATGGAAGCATCAGGAATAATATCAGTGGTGGTTGCAGTTGCAGTAATAGTAGTGATAGGAGGAGGATGGGTTTGGAAGATGGCGAAGTGGGTATGGTTCACTCCAAGGAAGCTGGAAAGGCGTCTGAGAGAGCAAGGTCTTAAGGCCGATCCTTATCGGTTCTGGGTCGGTGACTTAACCAGAATGACCAAGATGCAGAAAGAAGCCATATCCTCTCCTTTGCCTCCTTATTCCCATGACCTGGTCCCTTCTGTCTTCTCCTACGTTCACCACGTTGTCAATAAGCACGGTGCACTTCCTTTGTTTTTATATGCCCCTCTCTCTCTTAATTTTCATTTTAACCATCTCAATTGATTTTGTTACCACTTAGATAAGCCTGCCAGTGTGTATTGTGTGTATTATATGTATTATATATAAATAGAAAAATAATTTCCTTCCTTGATCTTCACATACATACATACATATATATATATATATTCGTGAAACAATTGGAGTATGTGCAGGTAAGAATTCATTCATGTGGTACGGACCAAAACCGAGGTTGATCCTTACAGATCCTGAGCTGATAAAAGATGTGTTCCACAGATTCTACGACTTTAGAAAACTACAACACCTAGTTCCTATTCTCGATTATATAGCCACTGGTGTTGGAAACTATAATGGCGACAAATGGGTTAAACACAGTAAAATTGTCCATCCAGCATTCAATTTGGAACACCTGAAGGTTAATTATTATTAATAGTTTCTTACCTATTTATAAAAAAATACTCAAACATATATATGTCTACTAACAAATTCAACTGATTAGAGTTTTTGTCTCTTTAACTTCTTCATCAACTCGATCTCTCTAGATTTTGATTCCAATCGTCTACCAAAGTTGCAATGATATGATGAACAAATGGGAGACCATGTTGTCCTCAGCAGATAGAACTTGTGAAGTGGATGTATGGCCCTGCCTTAAGAGTTTGACAAAGGAAGTGATTTCTCGAGCAGCTTTTGGAAGTAGCTACGAAGAAGGCGGACAAATATTTGACATCATCGTAGAACAAGCTCAACTTGTGATGAGTAATATACAGAAACATCGTATTCCATTCTGGAGGTAATTACTACAATTATCAAGACTATAATATCATACATGCCCGTGTCAAGTACTGATAAAATCATCATTTTTATTTGTAGGTTTGTTCCGACTAAGGAGAACAAGAGGTTGAAGGAAAATAATAGAAACTTTGAAGCTATCGTAGAGGGTATTATCAGAAGAAAGAGGGAAGCCATGAAGGCAGGTGAAGGCACAGAGGATAACATACTAGGCATACTTTTAGAATCCAATCAAAAGGAGATTGAGGAACAGGGAAACGACAAGAACGTTGGATTGAGTATGAAAGATGTGATTGAGGAATGCAAGTTCTTCGCCCTGGCTGGCCATGAAACCACTGCTGTTCTTCTGGTCTGGACTATGATGTTATTGAGTATGTATCCTCATTGGCAAGCACGTGCAAGGGAAGAAGTCCTACAAGTCTTTGGCAACCAAAAACCAGACTTTGAATCATTAAATCACCTTAAGATTGTGAGCATGTTTCTTTATCTGTCATATACATAAGATATTTTTCTTAAGCACACTGATCATGTGTCTTTTTAGCCACAAACATTTATATATACTGAAAAAAGAAATTTGACGTTGCAGGTTACAATGATCTTGTATGAGGTTTTGAGGTTATATGCACCGGTAATATGGGTAGAGAGAAATGTAGAAAAAGACATGAAACTTGGGAAATTGTTAGTTCCTGGAGGAGTACAGATTTGCATACCAATACTCATGTTGCACCATGATCAAGAGCTGTGGGGAGATGATGCCAAAGAGTTCAACCCAGAAAGATTTTCAGAAGGATTATTAAAGGCAGCAAAAGTTCCTTATGTTCCATTCTACCCATTCGGAGGTGGTCCTCGAATCTGCACTGGACAGAACTTTGCCTTGGTGGAGGCTAAAATTGCTTTGTCTTTGATTCTACAACGTTTCTCCTTCGAGCTTTCCCCAACATATTCTCATGCTCTCACCACCTTCATCACTCTTCAGCCTCGCCATGGAGTTCAACTCATTCTGCGTAAATTGCAATAAATTTACGATATTTTGTTGCTGCTGTATTTTGTTGGCTCAAGGCGCCTTATCCGTATTGTCTCCTGTATTTTATTGTTTTGTGTTTGTGTCACTTGTTTTCATATGTGTTTTATGTATGTTTTAATGTATGTTTAACTTTTAATATAAAAAACAAGTGCTCATTCGGGTACCAAATGAATTCTCCAATTATCATTATTGGATTTGGGTACTAGTGTGTGTTGTACAATCTGCATCTTTTATCGCTGATAAAAGTATGGGCGTATCAGCTCTTGATTACGTTTATTTATAGTTTATTTTTCCCTGTAGAGGCAATATTTAGGTCATGCGTGATATTTTTCCACCTAGTTGAAATTATGCAGAGACTGGGGGGGAAAAAAGATAAAAGTGACAATATTTACCAAATTAAACATAACACGATCAAGGAATTGAACATTTATGTAAAAAAAATTGTTCATTACTTTTGCTTTATGTTTTGAGATAATCTTTTATGTCAAGCTTAATTAGAAATGCCATCCAAAGGCTTAGTAGAATGAAGCGAATCATAAAATCTGAATAGCTAGCCGTCTATAGTTTAAATCTCGTTAGTGTAAAACTATATGCCAACATGGATTTTGAATATAAAAAATAGATACCTAATTTTTAAAAGATAAATAATTAATTTGTAGTGATTGAAAAAATTAGTTAAATTGGCTAACCATGAGAAATGCAAATTGACTTTCTTAAACTATTCTTTTTAATCATATACATTAAAACTATCTATGAGTGAAGCCCTTTATAATCAAAGAGATATTTTTTAAAAAAATTTGTAAATTCGAGAGACAAAATGCATTAAAATGTTGTATCTACGACCAAATTTTTATATTAAGATCTAATATAACAATAGAATTATATTGATATTTTAATAGGGTTAAAGTGTATCTAACATCCTGAAATATTTTATAGTGTATTCAACACTTCAAAATATTTTTTTAGGTGCGTCTAACATATTGAAATATTTTTTTCTTGATGTTAGATGCACCACAAAATCACATTAATTGAAAATTTAATCACCAACTATGGAAAACTGGGATATATCAAATTTTAATATAATACAGATAAGAAAATTAGGTTTGCGATTAAGTCTTATTATTATTATTTTCATAAAATATGTTTTATCTTAATATATTTAACTCTTGTTGTTGATAGCCATCTAATGGATAAAAAAATTAAAATATAATTTAAATACTCATCCATTGTAATTATTAATAGCATAATTAATATTCATTTGTTGTTCAAGCAATTACATTATGATCATTATATATTAAAACAATATTTCCTAGAACATCTGTGTATTATCCAATCACCATGCCGTGTTAAAAGGGAGTTGGTAGAAATGAATGATCATTGAAAAAAATGAAAAAAAAATATTAAAAAATCCTCAACTGCAAGATTTATTATTCAAAAATACCTTAAATTTGTTCAAGTACCATGTCCCATATATCTTCAACGAGAGCAACAATTTTTCAATTGTGTAATCTATCTTCAACAATATGCAAAACAAAAAACATTTTGCAAGAAGAGTTGCACTTGCACTCATTGAAGGTAAGTCATACCCATCCAAGATCCAAAGTCTTTAGACACTTTTGGCGATAAATTTTGCAGTGAAAGATTTTTCTTTTTCAGTGATTTTTCCTTAAAAAAGAACATAAAAGACACAAAATATTGTCAAAGTTGCTGATATCCAAGTATAAAGTATTTCTACCTAAACCCGTGATCAAGCTCTTTTCCAACTTTCATCAAACCCTTCGTAAAATGGAGTCTTTGAAGCCTTTATGGCATGTTGCCATTTTACAAATCAGATTTATTAGTTGCTTGTAGCAGCAGGACTTGTGAAGGCTTCCATGGGAAGAAATCACAGCAAATCTGAATGGATACTGTAGTGAGGCACTCAACGGGAAGACAAACAACGAAAAAGCTGGGAAGACAGTGAACGCATAGATCATGCTAGCAAAATATTCCCTTGGATTTTGGTCCTTCAGATCAATTTTCTCAAGGGGCAACGTAATTGCATACTAAAGAGAACGCATCAAAACTAAATGCAGATGAAAAATAAAACACGAAACTTACAAGATGGTTATAAGAAAATCCAAGCATTAGATAAGTTCTACCCACCATATGCAGGACCAGTAGCTAACATCATCTGATAACCATATGCATGCGGGACCACTGGCATCATGTGACAACGATATGAATCTAGGACCACTGACATCATCGGATGGACATGAAAAAACTAATTAATATGATAGGACAACAAATAAATATAGCAAACATTTTCAAACTCTAAATAAACAAAGCATAAACTCCAACTTCGTACATCAATTTTTTTATACAACTCCGTACATCAAATTGCCATACTATTACTTCTTTAAAACGATTGATTTACATAGTCCCTCATCCCTCCGGTCCTTACAATACCTTTTACAAAATTTACTGAAGCATTCATGACATTTTTAAAAATACCCTTATCTTTTGCTCTTGGATTTGCCATCCCTCCATCTCTTGCCCAAATTAACCATATCAATCAAATGGTTATTTTGAAAAATCACTAAAGTTTTTTACATTTAACTACTTTTAACTAATTTCCGTAATCTCATGAAAGTTGTTCACAGTCTTGTATATAAATGACCAGAGTAAGTATATAATATTACTAGACAAACTCTTCGGAAGATAGATACAGAAAAACACGAACGAACTGAACCAGAGTTGGCCGGCACAAAAGCTTTCTGGTATAATTCAATAATATATGCACTGGCAATACACGTCAATATAAACTAACACGAAAGACTATTATATATAATATTTTCAACTTGTTCTCTGAGAATATATATAGATAACTAGATACGCGCCACAACACGAGTACATACTCACAAAGAGAGATGACAGGAGCATCAGTAATATCAGGAGTGGCCACATGGATAGCAGTAATAACAGTTTTAAGATGGGTTTGGAAGATGGCAGTGTGGTTATGGGTGAATCCAAAGAGGCTAGAGAAAGCTCTGAGACATCAAGGTCTTCAGGCCAATCGCTATCGATTCTGGGTTGGTGACTCTTTCCAAATGAGTAACATGGTACGACAAGCCAAAGCCACTCCCTTGCCCGCTCATTCCAATGACCTGGTCCCTCATATCTCCCCCTTTCAGCAACACACTATCAGCAGATATGGTGCCCCTTCCTATGCCTTTCCCCCTTAATTGTTTTCTCTCATTCTTTTTTATCTTAGCAGTCTCAGTCCATTTTCTCATTTACCATGCACTGGAAACCATTCAAGAAACTAATAACATGACATAAACGTTTGTTACCATAAATAGAAGAGTTGTTTCCTTCCATCTTCTCTATAGACGCATACATATTATATATTCATACTGAGAAGCAATTGACGTGCAGGTAGGGATTCATTCATGTGGTTCGGACCAACACCAATGTTGATCCTTACGGATCCTGAGCTGATAAAAGATATGTTAAACAGACACAACGACTTCACAAAATATCACAATTTCCCAATTGTTAACGAATACGTAGCCCCTGGGGTTGCAGGCTACGATGGTGAAAAGTGGGCTAAACACAGGAAGATTCTCCAACCAGCATTCAATGTTGACAAATTGAAGGTTATTCCCTTATTTTCTTACCAAATTAAATTGCCATCACACATCTATACTCATTGATAAATATATAGATTAATTTCCATGTTATCGTGACAGCATCTTGAAGCAAGGTATATTGTTAGGATGAAATTTTGTTTTCCTATTTTTGGTTGCGATTACCAGAACTGCAGCCGTTTGGCCGAGAATTTGACTCTAATAATATCTTAATCTTTCTACAGTCTCTGATTCCAATCTTTAGTCAAAGTTGCAACGAAATGATCAACAAATGGGAGAACCTGTTGTCCTCCTCAGATGGAACATGTGAAGTGGATATATGGCCTTGGCTTAAGGATATGACAAAGGAAGTGATGTCTCGATCAGCATTTGGAAGTAACCATGAAGAAGGCAGACAAACATTTGATCTTCTAGCAGAACTAAGTGTAGTTGTAATGAATAATTTACAGAAACATTACATTCCATTATGGAGGTAATTACCAAGACTAACAGTCTAATACGATGACCTGTGCTTGTGACTTATAGATTAGTGCTTATTAAATCCTTTTGTAGGTTTCTACCAACTAAGGGGAACAAGAAGATGAAGGAAATTGGAAGAAACGTGAGAACTTCCCTAGAGTATATTATCAACAAAAAGGAGAAAGCCATGAAGGGGGTTGAAGCTGTAAAGAATGACCTACTGGGCATGCTTTTAGAATCCAATCACAAGGAGATTGAGGAACAAGGGAACAAGAAAAACGCTGGCTTGAGTATGAAAGATGTGATCGACGAATGCAAGTTGTTCTACATGGCAGGCCAAGAAACCACTTCTGTTCTACTGGTCTGGACTATGATGCTCTTGAGTAGGCATCCTGATTGGCAAGCACGTGCAAGGGAAGAAGTTCTGCAAGTCGTTGGCAGTCAAAAACCACACTATGATGCATTAAGTCGCCTAAAGATTGTAAGAGTGTGTGTGTGTGTGTGTGTGTGTGTGTGTGTGTGTGATATATTATATATATATATAAATTTCTTTAGATAAATTGGTTATGTTTTAATCAAACCCTAACACGAACACACACAATACAATTCAACCACGAACATGCATATATTTATGATGAAATTTGCCACCACAGATGACCATGATCTTGTACGAGGTTTTGAGGTTATACCCACCAGTAACATGGCTAGAGAGGTATGCTGTAAAGGACATGAAACTTGGAAAAATATCAATACCTGAAGGAGTACAGCTTGGCGTACCAATACTGATGGTGCACCATGACCAACAATTGTGGGGAGATGATGCTGAAGTGTTTAAACCAGATAGATTTTCCGAAGGAATCTCCATGGCATCAAAAGGGAGTTCTTCTGCATTCTTCCCATTCGGAGGAGGTTCCCGAGCCTGTCTTGGACAGAACTTTACCTTGTTGAGTGCGAAGGTGGCTCTGTCATTGATTCTACAACGTTTCTCCTTCGAGCTTTCCCCATCATATTCTCATGCTCTCACCACCGTCATCACTCTTCAGCCTCAACACGGAGTTGAAGTCATTCTGCGTAAACTGTAATAAATTTATTATATCGAAGCACTAATTCATGTACAATATGAATTCAGAATAATCCGCACCTCCTAGGTTAATAAAATCAAAATAGACGTAGAGTTGTAATTTTCAAACACCTGGAAAGGAAAGAAAGTATGGGCATCATCTAAGCATTGAAATATGACGCAATTATGCAAAGGACCAATAATGAGGATACTGTAATGAAGCATAGGGAAAGGATGAGCAAGGAAGATCACGCAGGAGGAAGGGAGCATGCTCATCATGCGCAAAGGTCATTACAAATATGCGCGGAGCTGAGAGGCATAGAGGCTATAGCAAGAGAAGATCCTTCATCGAAAAGGGTTTGGATTATTATTGTGGAATTTCCCTCTCTTATGATTCATCTCTCTCTGTAACTCGGTTCTTTCTCTCCTTCCTCTGTTTTTCCTTCTTCTTTTCTGCTCTTCATGCCTGTGTGTCTGTGTGACTGTAACTGGTTGGCAAATAATGATAATGATGATGGTGTGTTTCGATTAATTTGCCTGTACTGGATGAGTGTGTGTGATCTTCCTCGAACGAAATCATAACTAATAGCTAGTGAGAAAGAGTCCAAAATGTCCCCAAATTCATTCAGCTGCCACTTGGAACTCCCCACTGTTCTGGAGCTCCAAGCGGAAAAATTGGCGAAGGAGGCTTCAGAAACAAGGCCATTTAGTTGCAACAACGTGGAAAAGGAAATGTTAGGGTACTTTATTGGAAATGTTGTGTATATATTTCTTATTTATTTTTGTTTTGTATGGGCTGACCGCTGCGTGTATATGTGAGTAGCCTGCCCGCTTTTGTACGTAGTCAAGACTCTTTATAAATAGAGTCCAGTAGGCCCATTTCTGTGTAATCTGATTTTCAATCAATGAAATATTCAGTTTCATTTCTTTGAGCTGTGCGTTTTGGGAAAAGTGGAGGCAGGGCGTCTTGTTCAACATGGCATCAGAGCCACACGCCATCGTCTAGGGCTACCGATAGAGCCAATCAACGCAAGCCCTTGAAGAACCTCACACACACAAACCCTACACAGCGAATTCAATGGGAGAGGAGAAGATCGCGGCCGAAGCCATCCCCTTTTCACATCCTCTATTTCTACACTCTTCAGATACCCAGGGAACAGCGATCATTCCTCATATCCTCACCGGCACCGAGAACTATACGGTATGGTCTTGTGCGATGCGAATCGCTCTCCTCAGGAAGCATAAGCTTGGCTTCGTGGATGGCTCGTGCAAGAAAGCAGACCAAGATAGCCATCTACTGCCGCAATGGGAGAGATGCAACGCTGTCGTCCTTTCGTGGTTAATCAATTCGATTTCTAAGGAATTGGCCACCGGCATCATCTACTTTCAAGATGCTCATGATGTTTGGACTAAGTTAAAAGAGCGTTTCGACAAGAAAAGCAGCTCAAGAATATTTGCATTACACCGGGAAATTAATTCTCTCTGTCAAGGCCCCAAGGCATATTTTGATTCAATCCAGGAGCAGAAGTTACTCCAGTTTTTGATGGGACTAAACGAAAACTTTACACAAGCGCGGAGTCAAATCCTGCTCATGTCCCCTCTGCCATCTGTCAACGAGGCATATTCTATGATCATCCAAGATGAAACTCAACGGTTCATCAGCTATGGAGATAAAAATGTCTCAACAGAGGGACTTGCCATGACCGCAAGAGGAAGGGGTCGCGGACGTGGACGGGGAAGAGGAGAAAATGTCCCGGAATGTACCCACTGTCACAAGAAGGGACATGTTCGTGAAAATTGCTTCCAGATCGTTGGGTACCCGGCGAATTTCAAAGGCAATAAAGGGAGACAACAAAAAGAATTTCAGCAAGAGGGAGCAGATTCTGTCAAGGATTCAGATTTTCATGGCCATGCAGCAACTACGGTCACTCCAACTTTTACGCAGGAGCAATATGAAAAGATCCTGGAGCTGCTCAAGAAAGACACAGAACCTGCAGTGCACGCTTTAACTAGTACAAGTTTGATTTCTCCTATCCCTAGTTTTCAATCTTATACACACTGGATACTGGATTCGGGTGCCACAACCCACATGCCCGGTAAACTGGACCTATTTGACAGTTATGAACAATATTTTAGACCAATCAAATCAATTAAAATACCTAATGGGGATAGGTTATCTGTTACTCACATTGGTTCGGTCACTGTAGCTGAAAATATTATCATTCATAATGTTCTTTATGCACCCCGCTTGGAATTCAACCTTATATCTATATCCAGATTCACTAGAGAAAATAATTACATGGCAGCCTTCTTCCCTGATCTCTGTATACTGCAGGGCCTTCAAGATGGGAGGATCAGGATGACTGGTAGAGAGTATAAGGGATTGTATGTACTAAAAGTGATCAACAGTATTCACGATTCAGCTAATGTTGTCCAAAACGAGAAAAATTTGAAGAAGGATTGTGATATTCAATTGTGGCATAGAAGGCTAGGACATGCAACCCTATCTGTGTTAAAACATTTGAATCTTACATGTACTGATTCTTCTATATTGAATAAAGATTCTCATTCATGTGATATTTGCATTCGGTCTAAACAGACTAAGTTTCCATTTAATTCCAATGTGATTAAATCTAAGAGATGTTTCGACTTAATTCATGCAGATGTTTGGGGTCCCTACAAGAACCCCACACATCAAGGTTTCCAATTTTTCTTAACTTTAGTGGATGATTTTTCAAGAGGGACTTGGATATTTTTAATGAGACTTCTTGCTTATGATGAGAAGAAAAACCGCAAGGAGGACCTGTTAAAGGAACCAGGGAAATATAGACGATTGGTTGGTAAGTTGATTTATTTGACTATGACCCGGCCTGATATCTCTTATTCTGTGCAGACATTGAGCCAGTTCATGCAAAAGCCAACCAAAGCACACATGGCCGCTGCTAGGAGTGTTCTGAGATATCTTAAGGGAACCCCTGGGCTAGGGATTTTTATCAGCTCAGAAGGGAAACCGGAGCTAGAGTGCTACTGTGATTCAGATTGGGCTTCCTGTGCAATGACAAGAAGATCAGTTTCTGGCTATCTGCTGACGTTGAGAGGATCGCTTGTGATGTGGAAAACTAAGAAACAACATACTGTTTCAAAGTCTTCTGCAGAAGCAGAATACAGAGCCTTGAGTATGGCAACTTCTGAGGTAGTTTGGGCTATTGGTCTATTAAAAGACTTGGGTATAAATCATGAGGGTCCAGTGAAGGTGCACTGTGATAGCAAAGTTGCGATACATATTGCAGCTAATCTAGTTTTTCATGAGCGTACAAAACACATAGAGATAGATTGTCACTTTGTCAGGGAGAAATGAGAATCAAAGCTGATTGATTTGTGTCGTGTTAGAAGTCATGATCAAGAGGCAGACCTGCTGACAAAGGCTGTAGGAGGAAATGTACAGAAGAATCTTTTAGGCAAGTTAGGAACTATTGATGTTTTTAAGCCCCTAACTTGAGGGGGAGTATTGGAAATGTTGTGTATATATTTCTTATTTAGTTTTGTTTTGTATGGGCTGACCGCTGCGTGTATATGTGAGTAGCCTGCCCGCTTTTGTACATAGTCAGGACTCTTTATAAATAGAGTCCAGTAGGCCCATTTCTGTGTAATATGATTTTCAATCAATGAAATATTTAGTTTCATTTCTTTGAGCTGTGCGTTTTGGGAAAAGTGGAGGCAAGGCGTCTTGTTCAACATACTTGAACTGAAAGAGAGGAAAGAAATGGAGAAAAAGGAATCTTCACCTGATGCAACCACAGTGAAGGAAGTGAGGAGAAATTAAAGAACTTGACTGCGACGTGCACAGCTCCAAAACGCAGCGCGAAGGGAGGATAGAAGAAGGAGAACGAAGCGCAATGGTGGAGGAAAACGAGTTCGCGCCATTGTAGAGCTGCTTAGGGAATTTTTTTTGGGGAAAATTTCAGTTAAGGACCGTAAAAAACAATTTATATCAATCAAGGGTTCAAATGCAAATGAACAAGTGAAATTTGAAGATTTACAACAAAAGTTTATGGATTTACAACCCAAATTTGACAAATACAAGAGAATTTACAACCCAAAATGTAAGTGTTTGAGTGTAAGTGAATAAGTGAAATTCGACGATTTACAAATGAAATTCAGCAATTCACAACAAAAATTAGGCAATTTACAAATAACATAATGGAACTCACAACCCCAAATGCAAGTATTTAAGTGTAAATAAGTAAGTAAAATTTGAAGATTTACAACAAAAGTTTATGGATTTGCAAGTGAAATTTGACAATTTACAACAAAAATTAAGAATTTTACAAATAACATAATGGAACTCACAATTCCAAATACAAGTGTTTAAGTGTAAATGAGCAAATGAAATTTGAAGATTTACAACAAAAGTTTATAGATTTGCAAGTGAAATTCAACAATTTTACTTGCTCATTTGCACTTAAACACTTGTACTTGGAGTTATGACTTCTATTATGTTATCTGTAAATTGCCTAATTTTTGTTGTAAATTGCTGAATTTCATTTATAAATCATCGAATTTCACTTGTTCATTTACACTTAAATACTTACATTTTGGGTTGTGAATTCTCTTGTATTTGCCAAATTTGGATTGTAAATCCATAAAATTTTGTTGTAAATTTTCAAATTTCACTTGCTCATTTGCATTTAAACACTTGCATTTGGGGTTATGACTTCTATCATGTTATTTGTAAATTGCCTAATTTTTATTGTAAATTACTGAATTTCACTTGTTCATTTATATTTGGACAGTTGTGTTTGTTTTGTTATATATATTTTTATTTGCATTACAAGATTGAATGGGTTGCTTGGCTTGATGGATATTAGCTTTTTAGTGTGCCAAGGGGTCATGGGTTCAAACCCTCCATTGGCCACCTTATTTTAAACAAACAAAAAAAATTCCGACCACCAACAGTAGCTCCAATTAATATTTATTTTTTAATAAAATAAAAAGGGAGGGGTGTTATTGTAATCTTACTCTAAATTTTAATTTCAATTTGGTTTCTTGGTCCTGGAGTAAAATTTCAGAAAGTTTTAGTCTTTGACTGATATAAATTGTCTTCTGCAGTCTTTAACTGAAATTTTCCCATTTTCTTTTCGATCAATTCCACCATACTTACCAACGTTGATTTCGGGCGTCCATTTTAAAAGGAAAAATTGCAACTAAAGGCCCCCTGATATGTAAAATTGTGATTTGGGATTCTAAATTTAAAAAATAACAAATAAAAACCTGAGCTCACTTTTTTAAATATAAAATTGTGGTGAAATGTCTGAAATGTCCTCATCCAAATGACAAATTAACTATAGAAAGTGACAAATTCACTTTAGCGAATGATAATTTCAGTAGATTAAATTACAATTTGGCTGAGAGTATGCCAAATGACGAATTGATTATGAAAAATAATAAGTTCACTTTAGTTAATGACAATTTCAGTAAATCAAATCACAATTTGGATGAGAGGCATTTTAGACATTTCACCCACATTTCATATTTACAAAAGTGGAACCCGGTCCTTATTTGTTATTTTCCAAATTTAGGGTCTCAAATCACAATTTTATATGTTAGGGGTCTTTATTTACAATTTTTTCTTTTTGAAATCATTTATAAATTTTTATGTATATCGACATAAAATTTTTTTTATTGAAAAATTATTTATAATTTATTTTAAATAGACTCTTTCATAATTATCTCTATTTATCTCTCTGAGTAAATGACCCTTGGGCATACATAATTCCCACTAATCGCCGGTGGGTATCCATAATCCCCACTAAATATCATACTCCTCCATTATGAAATAATACTGGCCTCACCGAATTTGAATTTTTTTATATAATTCTTGAGATATAAACTACCTCTTTATTTTTCATATTTAGTATATCGATTTTTTCTGGATTTAGATCATCTCCAAATTTTCTCTTAATAACTATTCATTTATTATAATCATCACTCATGCTTTTAAAAATAAGATAATAATGTCGGCAAAAAAAAAAGATAATAACACTTCTTTATGATAAAAATTAAATGAATAATATATTTAATTTAATTTAATGTCACAATAGGCAATCTTACATTATTAAACTAAATGAATAATTAAATAAACAAAAAAGATGGTTTAGAGAAATATACGGAGAGAAAGGATGACGATGATCCGTAGCCCTTCCTCTGCAAGTTTTCTTTTATGGTGCTTCTTATTGTTGGCTTCAATTCCTATCAATTCTGTTACATTCTAATTAATGTCTACAACTAAAAAAGTATTTAACAAATACTACTTCCAGTCTTAAACTAAATTTTATATTCAGAATCAAAGCTAATATATTATTTTCAACAACTCCTATATATTCAGTCTTGTTTTGCTCATACGTTGTTCAAGAACACGTACACGAATTAAACAATAAAACACGCACAACAACAAAAAAAATCACTCTAATTAAGTAGGAAACAACACCACAAAAACACAAACCAAAAGATCACTTCGGAGCAAGTTATACTCAATAAGCCCAAAGGGAAACATAAAACGAAGGATAATGTATGACTCCCTGATTATATTCAACTAGCTAGTAAATGATATCGGAAGTTATATATATCAACCAGCTATTTCTGACATTTCTTCATTTTCTGGACTATAAAACTAAAGCAGACAAAGCTGTAATCGCGGGTACGACATGAAATCTAATATTGAAGTTGAAAGAGCATGAGAATATGGTGGCGATAGAAAGTTGAAAGGAGAAACGTTGTAGAATCAAAGCCTGACGTCAAAGCCATCTAACAAAGCAAAGTTCTGTCCAAGGAAGATTCCCGGAGGACCCCATCCAAATGGGAAAAATATTGGATGGAAACAAAACCATGATTTTAAAAGTGTTTTTACCATATATGAAGTAAATATGTAGAGGAGTTTATTTCGATTTGTAGAAAAGTGCTTTTAAAAGTCACTTCTCACATCATACAAACACCCCCTAAATAATTACTTTAACCTGAAAAGCCCTTCATCAGCTGGGTTAAACTGGCTTCATCTCCATGAAACTCTGGATCATGATGGATCATAAGTATTGCTATGCAAATACGCACTCATAACTTCCCAAGTTTCATGTAGTTCTCAACATATGAAACTAGTTAAAGAGCTGATTGCTTGATGTTTGTATTAAACTGACATAAAGTTCGCAGCATCTCTCTCTCTCTATATATATATATGACATACACAAACACACACAAACTGCAAGTTATGAATTTATTATTAAAGTTTGTGTAGAATGACATGAACTCCATGTTGTGGCTGAAGGGTCATTCGGATGAAAGGAGCATGAGAATATGCAGGAGAGAGTTCGAACCAAAAGTTCTGCAGAATCAAAGAAAGGGCCATCTTAGCCTCCAACAAGGCAAAGTTTTGTCCTACGCAAATCCGAGGACCCCATCCAAACGGTATATATGCAACGGAATTTCCTTTCCCTGCCTTTGAGATTCCCTCGGAAAACCTCTCTGGCTTGAACTCCTTCGCATCACTCCCCCATATCTCTTGGTCCTGATGAAGCATCAGTATTGGTATGAATATTTGCACTCCTCCAGGTACCAATATATCCCCAAGTTTCATGTCCTTCTCCGTCGATCTCTCTTGCCATGTCACTGGCGGATACAACCTCAAAACCTCGTATAAAATCATGGTCACCTGCAATGGAACATTATGTTTATTTATCCATGAACAAGCCAAATCAACAGTCAACACAACGGTCTAGGTTCCAAATCAGCTAGTTCTTTTCCTTGTTGGCTCTTCTCCCAAGAAGTTCTTTTCTCAATTTAAGTAATTTAAAAACTAGATATGCATGGATGATATATATACTTACAATCTTAAGGTGACTTAACCTGTCAAAGTTTGGTTCTTGATCCCCAAAGACTTGAAAGACTTCTTCCCTTGCGCGTGTTTGCCAATCAGTGTACTTACTCAGCAGCATTATGGCCCAAGCAAGCAAAGATGAAGTGGTGGCTTGGCCTCCAAAGTAGAAAAATTTGCATTCGTCGATTATATCTTTCATGCTCAACCCAACGTTTTTCTTGTTCCCTCGTTTCTCTATCTCCTTGTGATTGGATTCTAAAAGTATGCTTAGTACGTCATTCTTCATGGCTTCACCTTCCTTTAGGGCTTTCTCCTTCTTCTTAATGATTCCCTTCACCAAGTCTCCCACCATTCTATCTATCTCCTTAATCCTCCTAAGGTCCTTACCGTGTACAAAGCTGCAAAATAGATTCAATAAGTCAATCTTTACAGATACATATTAATGCTCCATATTAGTTTGCTTAATGTTACCTCCAAAATGGAGTGTGATATCTTTGTAAATGATTCATGACAAGTTCAGATTGCTCTGTGAGGAGATGGAAGATTTGTTTGCCTTCTTCATAGCTACTCCGAAATGCTGCTCGACAAATAACATCCTGTGTCATGCTCATAAGTGAAGGCCAAACATCCACTTCACACGTTCCATTTGAGGACGACAGCTTTTTATCCCATTCTCGTATCATGTCATTGCAACATTGGAAAAGGGTTTGCGTCATAGTCTGTGGAAAATTTAAAATGAAAGTCAAAATTGCCGGACTGACATTAATTAGAGAAACCAAATACTGATAGAAGAACCAAAAAAAGGAATCTTGTATATATGTACGTCTTTCCTGAATCAAGTTCTTGACGTTTATATTTGACATGACTCAATAAACATTTCAAATTTTAATAAGGAGAATGTATAGTACAATATTCTCTTCCTCAATAATTGAGCTGTCAGAGTTTCAACAACTTCATTTCAAATTTTAGGTGTTCATGACATTATGTTTTTAAGTTAACTAAGCTAATGTATAGATAGTCACAATTAGCTAGTCACGTGAATGTCCTTCTTCTTAATCGATAAAAGAACAAATTTGACGTTACAAAAACTGAATAATATAACATAAAAGGAAGCTAACTTACAGCGGATCACCACTCTAAATCCATCAAATGTTGCCTAAGATCACATACATCCAAAGAAGGAACTGATAATAATAAAGGGGTGAGGGAGAAAGCTTCCAACCTAATGGACACAAGCCTCTTAGCATGCAGAAGGGGTTCTCTAAAGTGATGAAGAGTAGTTAAAAAATTGCTTCAATAATTTTTTTCCTTATTTAGAAAAAAGCAAAAGGAGCGAGAGAGGTGTATTGCAGTTTTTTAACTGCTCTTCACCAGTTCAGAACGATCCTATCCTTGTTCCATGAGCATTATTAGAAGAACGTACGTAGATACGAAGTTAATTACCTTGAGTTTATCCAAATTGAACGCTGGACTAATGATCTTTCTGTGTTTGGCCCACTTGTCTCCATCAAGTTTTGCGAGACCAGGGGCTACATACTTGCTAAGAGGATTCAAATGACTTTTTCTGTAGTCATAATTCTTGTTGAAGACATCCTTTATCTGCTCTGGGCTCGTTAAGATCAAGCTCGGTGTCGGTCCAAACCACATGAATGAATTTTTACCTGCAAGTAGGTACTACGTTAATTGTTACCACAGTAGCCAAATTATACACAGAGAACAAAAACCAGAAGACATTAAGGAAAAGGAAACACCATGTTTGTGGAGAATGTGGAGCACAAAGGAGAAGAAACGAGGAGATAGATCATGGGACAGAGACTTCATGGGCATGGATTTGGCTTCTTCATGCATCTTCACTATTTCCTTCAAGTCACCAACCCAGAACTTGTAAGGGTTGGCCTGAAAACCTTGCTCTATGAGCACCCTTTCCAGCCTCTTAGGGTTCAGCCACAACCACTTCATCATCTTCCATCCCCATCTCACCATTATTATCGCCGCCGTTATTGACGCTATTAACGTTGTTGCTCCCAACATTTCTCTTACAACTCTCTCTGTCCCCATTCCTTCTTGTGTTTGTATAAGATTGATATGTAGATTGGTTCATATATATAGACTGATTAATGGAGTCTCGCACACACAGAAGGACGGAGGGGGAGAGAACGATGAGCGTCTATTATTGTCTGTTCTCTGCTTGCATACAAGGCGAAGAGATTGGCAAAATATAGAACGACAGTCAATATAATTAATAATATTGAAGAATTATTAATTGTTATCCTAGAAAGTACTTTTCTGATCCTTATACACACTAGTATAAGGATCTTATATTTAGGATCGGAGGAGTAATTTGATTATATTAAGTAAGTTAGGTAATTTAGTTAATTATAAGAAATATGACATATTTTTCTTAAAATACCATAATCATCCTTTTTAATATCTTCCCTCCTTTTTTTACTTGATTATGCTTAAAGGAGTATCAATACGAGTAATTTAGAAAAACTGATAAATATAAGAAATATGTTTTATATTTAAGACCAAAATTAATTTAATAATTAGGTCATACATTAAGGACTGAAATAGTATAAGTTTAATTAGATTCACGTTATCTAATTCATGGTTCACTCTAATACAACATAGCTGATCTTTTACAAGTTTTACAAGTTTATGTGTGCTAATTAGTTATTCAAAATCTTCACAAAATAAAAACTCAAGAACAACGAATGAGTTAAATAGTAATTCATATTACACTATAAAATACACGTTAGCTGGTTTACCGCAACCTCAAATCAATTAACAAACTTAAATTTTTTTTTAAAAGATCAAATATATATCAAAGCATAAAAAATAAGTACAGGAAGCACAGAGTAAAACAAGTGCAACCAACGAAGTAATACGGGACATATAATTCAGGCTAGACACTATAAGCTGATTCCTACGCACTGCCTTGGTGTTTAATATAAATCCCGGTTGATTAATTTGGAAAAATTAAAAAAATTAAAAAATTAATTAATTATATATGATCTCTCTAAAATACTTATATGTATCATTAAATTATATATCTATTTATAAGTTGGGTAAATTAGTTTTGTAAAAATTAATAAATATAATACTTCAAAGCGATTTATGTAATTTATTTAATCTTTGCAAATTAATTAATTAAGCTTTATATTGAGGACTATACGTAGTACTCCTCCGGTCCTTATTATAAGACCCAATTTGACTTTTTATTTGGTCCTAATTATAAGACCCAATCCATTTTCTCTCTTATATTTATGCATTTTTTTCCAAGATAATCCTTCTAATAATGATAGTTTTAGCCAATATACTTAATTAGCAAGGATATTTTAGGAATGACAACACTTATTTATTATAAATAACCAACTTAACTTACTTCTTTAATTTCCTCAAATAAGTCAATTGGGTCTTATAATTAGGACCGAAGGAGTATATAAAACAACAACAAAGCGCACTAAGCCTTGCCAGGAAAGGGACAACATTAGCTCAATATCATCGGATAAATCAATGGGGGAAAATAGCATATATCAAATCATATGTGAGTGCGCACGAAAGTAGGAAATTTTTTTAAGAGGTAAAATTAGAAGAAAATTTTGCAATGGTGCACAATATGTGTAAACATAATGAAAAAGAAAGATATAAAAGATGAAGATGTGAATCAAATTCAAAGTATACTACTCATTTATTTTTTCTTCATTTTCCTCTTAAAATGCATATTAATTACGAAGCCTATGCGACCTTCAAAATAAATGAATGAACTTTTTGGTTCCGTGAAGCAACAGATTTGCCAATATAAGTAAACTGTATTACAAGTGGGATCTTCCAAGAAATATAAAGGCTACGGTATTGTTAATTGAAAAATTGGCTAGCTTTTCCATTGCCGACAAGCTATAATGTAGAACAATCGATTTTAGGAGAAAAATGCCAATATATATCTATATATACACACATACGTGCTGTCACCAATATTTCTATTTTAATTTGTGTTCATTTTTATACATTTCCCACAATTATCTTTATGTTTAGTCCAAACTGCAATCCTGACCCATGCTGACTCTGCAATGTTCTATTTTGTTTACATATTCTGTTCTATTACGCAATCCAAATCAGGCGATATCCATACTTTGAGAAGAAGTTTAATTATTTCATAGGAGAAGGAAAAGTTAGACCCACTAGTGAAAAACCCTTTGATATGGGGAAAAGTGAGATAAGATTTTGGGAGACGCATATTGAACAGCTAAGCTAAAGCCTAAAACATTGGCCTTTAAATTTGATGCCCAGGTCAAATCCACTCTTTAAAATGTCGACGATTGGGAAGTTATCTGAGATAAGAGATAG